CAGGGTAGGCGAGAGCGGGCAACCGGCCAGGGCCGAACGAAGGGCCTCAAAGGAACGCTGTTGGTCTTCTTTCCAATGTAGGCGAATAGTGTCGGGTTGGTCGGCACACAAGCTGACCAAATCCTGCACTGGCTTGGCCATAGCCGTGAAACGTGGAATGAAAGAACGGTAATAGCCAACCAGTCCCATAAACCGCCTCACATCACGAACTGTCTCAGGTAGTGGCCATTCCATTATACAACGGACACGGTCAGGATCGGGACGCATACCAAACTTGTCATAAATATGGCCCAAGTAGGATATCTCCTCCATGGCAAAGTCACATTTAGTAGCACCCAAAGTTACCTTAGCAGCGGACAACCTCTCGAAGACCACACGAAGGTGCCGAACGTGAGTCTCCATGTCCGGAGAGAAAATCAAAATATCATCAAGATAGATCTTGACGAATGGTAGGTCACCCAGGATGTCCTCCATGAGTTTCTGGAAAGTAGCAGGAGCATCATGTAGACCAAACGGCATACGCAAAAACTCATAGAGGGGAAAACCATTCCCCGGACAGAAAGCGGTCTTCGGGATATCAGCGGCAGAGACGGGTACTTGCCAGTAACCAGACTTCAGGTCCAGAGATGTAAAGAAACGGGCACCCTTCAAGTCATCCTGCACAAAGTCAGGTCGAGGAAGGGGGTAAGCGGACATGTGGGACCGACGATTTAGTTCACGATAGTCCACGCAGATACGGACACCACCAGTCTTCTTCTTAACGTAGACACAAGGTGAACGCCACGGACTCATACTTGGCCGAATAATCCCTTCTCTCAGCATATCATCAATCTGGCCTCGTATATCAGCTTGCCACTTATGAGGTACACGTCTCGGACGCTGAGCCATCGGCTGCTCATCGAAGGTCTTTATATCATGAGTGACCAACGGACAAAACCCGATCTTGTTTGTTGACAACTCCGAGAACTCGTTACAAAGATCTTGAATAGGGCAAAGGTCGGGACGGTCAGATACCGG